ATGAGATGGCGATAAAGAGTTGGGAAAGAAAGAAAGTCACTTTCGGCTTTTCCCTTTTTTTTTTTAGGGGTCGCCACAGCGAATCGTCACACTGACGACTCGCATGTTGACATTTGGCACGTGTTTTACGCCAGATGCCCTTCCTGACGCAACCCTGATTTGAACCACTAGCCTACCAGGGACAGAGGGTCAGTAAAGAAAAGTGAAGGTCAAAGGACCACTGTCTAGCTTTTGAAAAGAGCTAAAGCTGCCTTTTGAACTTTCTGTACATCCCCCCCCGTTTTGCATACTAAACTATATGTGTGTGTTTGCTTTGCATTCATTCACTCAGTCTATCTCTTTCTCCCTTTCTCTCCCAGTCTCAGAAAGTGAAGGAAAGTTGCAACAGAATTCCTTTTTGAGCTTCATGCAGACACTGAACGCAGCCTTTAATCCATTTCTCTCGCCGACCCCTTCCACACATACTTCTCTCCAAATCCCATCCAGTCCATTCCTTGAATAAATTATTTCATTTCTTTACGGTCTGCAGCATTTTTATTCATCTCTGTGGCATGCCTCAACTTCTGTCCCTGCGGAGAGCCTTGATGAATGTGCTGGGCTCACACACCCTCTGATCATCCCTGCCCTGAACGCCTTTAGCTGCCTCCAATGCACATAAGGATGCTCTCTCTCTCTCTTTCATTCCTCTTCTCTCTTTGCCTCATTCTCTCTCAGACTTTCAAATGGAAATAATAATATTAATTTAAAAAAATCTGCTACTGTACAAAGAAGATCTGGATCCTTTTTATTTCAATTTGCTCTGTAGATATGAGCCATCCTTGTTCAGATTAATGATGCCATTTAAGTACACTGAACAATTTCAAATAACTATTAATCTGGGAATATACACTCAACAACACTTGATTACCAGAGCAAGCAGCCTGTGTTAATAAGGAAACACACCACCCAGTGTGTATGGGCATATATTTGTGTTTGAGAAGAATTAACAAAGGCAGTTGGACTTTCTTTTGCACTGAGTTATCATGTTAGGGTGCTGCCGTGATTGGCATGACCCAGAACACTGTCTGGAGCCCAAACAATGTCAGATAAGACCTCATCATTCTCACTGGAATGCGCACATTTCCCAGCAGGGCACAGTTTGACAACACAAGATAGGGATTCGATAAGGATAAGTGAGCGTTTGTTTCATCCAGGTCACGGGGGATTCACTTTGAACTTGTAACACACCAAAAACCGCAGGTGGTCCTCCCTCCAGTGGTATCAATTAAGGAATAGGTCCAATCAATGTCTTAGCACCAGCCGGATACTCAACTACAAGGAGATTAAGACTAAGCTTACATCTTAACACAGAGGAGCCAGCCAGGCATGCACACATACAAAGACCCCCCACTTACAACACATAAAACCCACATTACACATCACAGCACACAGAGATGATAGCTCAACAACCAGCCTGCCTTTTGTTTGCTGTGCAGTTGCATCTGACAGCGTTTGTGCTTTGAGACACTAAACAGAGGACAATTTTAGACAATATTTCTCTCACTGTTATTTTTCTTTCCCTTTGTTTGTCCTTTTGCTAGGCTAAAGTTTGACCTAAATACTTCAGGTATTTGATGATTGCTCTAAAACAGAAATCAGAGGCATCCAGCAGACTTGTCGCAATAGTCGAAGGAAGGGAGGGAGGCTGAGGATCCTGACACACTCACAGAGAGATGCTGGTACTTACCACACTTCATAACTGTATAACATGGAACTCAAAGCTGTCAAACATTATCCTCACAGACTGCTGAATTCATCATCTTAAATCTAACTCAAAGCCTTACCTTTCACCCTGCTGTGAGATGAAAAAGCTGCAGAGTATCAGCTCTGTGGCCTCCACCAAGCCACTGCTAATCTAGGAGGGCCGAGCGGGAGGGGTCCATCACTCACATGCTCTGGAAGGGACACCAGAGAACCTCTGAACTTGGCTTGTGACCACACTTTGATTGAAGAGCTAGCAATGTGATGACAGCCTGCCCACCAGCTAATGATCTGCTTCTTCCTTTTTCCAGATTACTACAGGCCTGTTTTGCTCACAATCATCGCTGCACTGGCACAGCTACATGCGCACACAATCTACTGCACATGAACACAATCGGAGAAAGAAACACAGAAGTTAAGGAATGCATCACCAATTTTTTCTTCATTCATTCATTTTTCATTTAATGACCTGACGTTTAAGCAGCCTGATGAAGTCCAGTTCCATCATTGGCTGCTCCTCTGTCCGGCAGGACAGGAGATAAGGACGGGCAGCTCTGACCATAATTAGAGTGTCAAAATATTTCAGTCAGATGAAAGTACTGCACTGCTTCCTCAGCTAAGTTTCACGCATGAGTGTGGAAAAATTAATTTAGTAGTTCATCACAAAAGCAATAAATGTAGCTGTTACACTATAGATTTTATTGTACTCATCAATCATATTTTTACCACTTAGAAGTTTGAAAAAACCTTTTATTTTATTTTGAAGAGTACTGTAAATCATCAAAATATCAAGGAAATAGTCTGGATATTTTTACCTGGATCAAGAAAAATGTGTTAATCCAAAGTGTAAATAAACAACACATTGCGGCCTGAAGGTGATCAGATCAGGGATTTGGAGATGCCATACAGGTGTAAATGCAGCCCATACAGAGTGACTACATTCTTAAAAAAATAATAATAATCTATCAAGTTGAAGGATCACTTACTGTAACTACATACCCTGATCTACACGCAAAATAACAGATTTTCTTAACAAAGCAAATCCAGGCATTTTGATTGGACTGTCAGTAGACCGCCTTATCGGCTCTAAATTTAGATGGCTGCTCCTGGAATGACAGATGTCAAAATTTCTGCATTGTGCTTAATTATCTGACTAAAGGTGTGACTGTGTGAGTGAGAACAGAGATAGTAATAGTAAATATTGTGGAGTTTAGTTTCACTTTGAGATATATCACAGCTGCAGCAGTGAGTAAAGCATTGCTTTGAGCCTGTTTCAGTGACATTTAGCAGGTGAACCAGGGTCTAAAGTCTGTCCAGCTCTCCCTATCGCTGTAGATTCACACTGCTATGCTTTGGATATTATGGACAACATTATAGAAAACAATCATCTTACATTTTCTTAATGTGGAGCTATTCAGTTGTACAGCATATTGCTTTAATCTTTATTATTTTATTTTGATGAAAGTTTGCTATTGAAGAAAAAAATTGAATTAAAATAAATACTGTGTCATAAAACCTGGTCAGAAAAGCCATAAGTGAAAAATCCAACATAAAATAAAACTCTCAGCCATGGATGAGAACAGATGGATACATGAAGAAGAAGCACTCAGCTCCTTTACTTGAGTAAAAGTAACAATTCCCCAGTGTAAAAGTACTTTGTTACAAGTAAAAGTCCTGCATTCACAGTTTTACTTAAGTAAAAGTACAAAAGTATTATCATCAAAACACACCTAAACTACTAAAAGTGCTCATTGTGTAGAATGGCATATTTAAAATGTATTAGTATTATAATCATTGATGGATTTATTGTGTTAATCACTTTAATGTTGCAGTTGGTTAAGGAGGAACTAGTTTTATTGCTGGGTAACAAGTGAATTTTCTACCATAGATCAACAATCTTATGATTATACTGTCATTTTTTAAATTAACCTGATTCTGAAAAGTAACTAGTAACTAAAGTTATAAAGTGCAGTAAAAAGTACAATATTTGCCTCTAAAATGTAGTGAAGTCAAAGTATGAAGTAGCACAAAATGAAAATACTCCAGTAAAGTACAGATATCTTGAAATTGCACTTGAGTACAGTACTTGAATAAATGTACTTGGTTACTTTCCACCACTGCATAAATGTATACCATCGACAAAAAGTGATCCAATTTGAGCATTAAGGCTACATGCCTACGTGACTACAGTAAACATCTATATAATATACTAATCAACCAGCAGACCGATCTTTCAATCAGCTCCATAATTTGTAGGGTTAGTTATCTGTGAGTGCCGCTATCCATCACCATGGTTACTAAGTTCCCAAACAACCTTTAAACCACAATTACATGATGTAACAAAGTTAATCAATGACTCCATCAACTGCTGAATATGCATCTAAGTAACCACCTATCATCCATTACCTCCGCTGATGCGTGTGCTGTCAGAACTCTGTGTGCCTTGAATCTGGGGAGAATCGAGGCAGAGACAAGCGATGCACACCTCAGCTCTCTGAAGTGGCTTCCCTTCTCTAAACACTGATCTGATAAGATAGGAGCAAACCCCAACAGGAATTTGTTTTTCACCGCTCTTTCACTGCAGAGCGGATGATAGCGAAGACATGTGGAGAAGCTACATGCTACTTTGGCCCCGTCTCAAGGCACACTAAGAAAAGCAGGTGAATTCCACCAAAGAGAAAGAAAACAGAGCCTGTTATTGGTTTTGGTCCTGTCAGACTGACCCAGAAAAGCTAAACATCTGCTTCTCTTACTTGAGAGGGAGGCAACAATATGTGCTTAGCAGTCACCATCAGCTCTCACTCACATAAAAGGAGAGCGCCTCACAACACAAGGACATAGGTGAGAAATTACGACAGCTTCGATTCTACTCACTGAGGAAGCACAGATTCAATTAAACCAAGCTGAAGGTCATGAGGCAAAACAATGTAAGAGAGTCGGGCACTGTGCTTAATGGAAATCTTCATGGCTTTGGTAATATTTAATCCAGTAGCCCACCTTGACTACCCCTATCAATCATTCATCTACCCTGAGCACAGTCACAACCTGAGTGTTGCAGAGGAGCCCATGTGAGGAATCCACTTAACATTCAAAGACTGACATTTACAGACAGCGTTACTTAACGTTGCCAGATATAGACAGATGATAAAGAGTGTTACTGGTGAAAGCAGTGCCGGCAACAGAGAGTAAAGAACAGATAGAGATCAGGGAGGGAGGGGGACAGGGGGGGACAGGTGAGGTAGTAAAGTACAGAGGGCAGGGAGTGGATACTACAGGAGGGGAGAGAAAAAAAGAGATAAGGAGGGAACAGGCAAAGGAATTTGCAACTGAAAGCAACAGACTGTGGTTGAGGGGAATGGGAGGAGCGCTGAGCAGAAAACAAGGTTACACATGAGAAGTCAGATGGGTAGTCCAACAAAGGGGCGAGAGCGCGAAAAAGAGAAAGAACAGGTAGAGTTGGTTAGGAAAAGGTTTCAGTATTACTTCACACCTTAATACCTCTTTCTCAATGCGGCGGGAAAGCAAAACAAAAAGTAAACAAACAGAAAGGGCAAATGAAGTCATGAGACCGGAAAGTATAAATAACAAGAAAAGGCGGGCAAGACAGCACAGTTAAAAACAGACGCGTCCAGGAGATTATTTAAAGAAGAGAAACAGACAAGGGGGAGACACGGCTGTAAGGAGTTAGCAGGGAGGGAAAGAAGGAAAACAGAAAATACTTATTGACAGGCAGGACCAGACTTATCTCCATGGACTACTGACATCAGCAAAAGAAGAAGAGCGTTAGAAGAGGTCACAACGGTCCAGCTGCAGAGCAGATTGCTTGTGCATGTCTGTTGTGCAACTAAGAGAGCTGAAGTAGACAGATACAGTTCGCAAAGACAGTCCTCTCTGTAACAGCACCATGTTGATGAAAGAGTACCGCATATGCATGCCACTGACTGTGGATGAGGTAAGTGTATTTGTTTTTCCTACGCTCACACATACACAAACAGACACATACACTACCCTCCTGGAGCTTTAAACTGACAAAAGAGAGGTTTTTATTTCAAAAGTGAAAGCATTATTTTAACTTGCAATCTTGAAAGTGCTAATGTGCTGATAAATAATGAACTAACAGAGCACTCAAACCTCCTGTGGCTGCTCTGTGGGAGTTCTGGTACTTGGGTAGCGAGGCACTGTATGCTCAGCACCGATGGACTCGGCCAATTTAACGGAGCGAACGCACAACACCTGGTTAACAGTATCACAAAGTAGCACGGCTGTTATGTCTAAATTATCTCCCCATCTGTCTGCTTCTCTATTTCTCTTGTTTGCTGTAGGACTCCCAGCAGCACGCAAACTAGTCAGACTGGTTACAGCTTTGAGACCTAACCTTAAGCAAATGGATTTGGCTTGCAGGTTTATTTATAAAGGCGGCATGATGGTGTAGCAGCACACCAATCAACCTGTGCCTTTCTGTGTGAAGTTTGCTCCCTCCCACAGTTCAAAGACATGTATCTTAGGTTGTTTGTTAACTCTAAATTGCCCATAGGAGTGAGTGTGTGTGTGTGTGTGTGTTTGGTAGTCTGTCTCTAAGTGTCAGCCCTGTGATAGACTGGTGACCTGTCCAGGGTGTACCCTGCCTAGCGCCCAGTGTCAGCTGGGATGGGCTCCAGACTGACATTAAGTGGTATAGATGATGAATGGGTTTTTTTTTTTTCAAGAGATCACATATAGAAAAAAAAGGGTGGTTGGACGAGGAAGATACAGTACATACCAATGTGCTTTAAGGGGGAATGCCCTCAGTGCATCCTAAACCATGCTCTACTCCGCCTTTAGTGCTACCTGTTACCACAGTGACAAATAGCAGTCCAAAACAGGATTTACATCATCGGCACAGGGCACACTGAAACTTGAGCTTGCGGCAAATCCTCTTTCAGCTGAATGTAATGTAAGTTTAAGTGCAGTTTATTTGGGGTGGTATTAAATCATGACACTTACCTCAATTCAAGCCATTTACAATCTTCAAACCCTTGCTTTACTTTTAAAAGGTATACTGTTGACGTTTGGGTGTGAAATAGCACAACACAGTTCAACTGCATTCAGGATTGATCACTATTGCATTCTGCTGAGGGATAGCTGATACTTGGCATGTGTGGTACAGGTGGTCCTGAAGGGTTGGAGGCTCGATCTCCAGCTCCAGCTCTGCACAGGTTTGAAAGACACCAACCCTCAAATGCCCGTGTCTACATGTAGGGGAAAATATAAGTTGCTTCCGACAAAATAAACTCGCCAATGAATGTGTTATCACATCAGCCAGCCTGTAACGCCATGATCATGTACAGGTCCTCTAAAAAAGATTCCACTATGAGGGTTGGAAGTTTTCATATTTTGCTGCTGCTCAATGTGACTTTTTTAACAAAGGAAAATTGTAGATCTCTACAATTTAAATAATTTAATTACAGGGTACATGCTTGCATGTGAACCTCTTTAACAGGACACAACTGAATCATTCCGGTACATCACAGGTAATGTAAACAGAGATCACCTGTGTGCAGTCAAAGGCTTTAAGATGATTGTAGTCTAAATATTTGCAAGGTGCATACAATTGCTGAGTCAGCTTTGTGGTACAAACATCACAGTGAAGCACGAACGGGGACACGTACAAGGAACCTTCCAAGTCACTGAACATGCTAAGACCAAAGCATTTTGGCTCGTAGCCTTCGTCAGGTTCTGTTAGGTAACAGCAGGTAACAAAGAATCATTTCAGTAGTACAGATATGACAAAACTATTTTTTTAAAAACCAATCACTTACATGTTTTTAATATTTTTCTAGTATACATATCTGTACTACTTAAACAAATCTTTGTTACCTGCTTTTAACAGACCCTGACAAAGGCTACAAGCCCAAACATATTGGTCTTAACATTAAAGTTGTGCTAAACACTACAAGTGCTGCTGGACCTTTTGCCTTTCCAGTCCGTTTTTACACTTTGGTAGTGGGTGAGGCTGCGCTGGAAACTTCTGAACATCCCTCAGATAAATCATTCAAAGAGTATTGCACAATCTGAAGTCGACTGACATGCATACTGTATTGGTTGTCCATATAAAATTTACGTTGATTTAATGGCTGTAAAGCAACAATTCATGAAAACATCCAATGAGCGCCAAAACATTTTATCGGTATTATAAATCACTACTGTCACTCTGGGGAGTAAACTATTGATTAGTATTTAGGGTTTGGGGTTAATGCTGTGCTTTGCAGCTGAGTACACAATCAATTACAAACATTTAGACAAGGTTTCTGTAAATGTTTTGCAAAAGCAGTCATGTTTTAACTGTACAGGGACAGATCCAAGTCTGCGCTCACCTTTGTGTGGTGGGTTTTAAAAAGCTGCTTTGAGCAGTACACTATGTTATTGTATTAGTGAATCCTTTCACTTTGTCTTGCTGTCATACTGATGCTAGCTGCAGCATGTCAACCCTGCAATGACAACTCCTGAGGAATTTATAACAAACTCGCTGCTGGTAGACCTAATACTGTAGAAGGAACATGCATGGAAATCCTTTCAGTTAAAGAGTTTCTGAACATGCTGCTCATCATAGCTGGTGAGCGTGCACAACAGTGGTAAATAAGGACATGTATTCTTCTCAACTTTCTGAGGATGTGTTTGGTAGAAGGTGAAAAAGATTCACCACCTGTGTGTGGGAGGAGCTCATTGCTCTGTAGTCTGTTAGTCTTAAGATGGTGTAAAAAGCACCCATCGCTATGATTAATTAAGTTCTGTAAATGCCCGATAAGTAAATATTGAATGCTGATATTCCACAGTAACTGGAACAAGAAGGAGGAATGTCACACGATGTGAACAGGATATGGTGAGAGATGGCAAAGTGATATCTGCCCTCCTCTTTTCTCTCATCCTCACAATCATTCTCTGCTTCGGCATTTAATTAAAATAATGCTTTATAGCCACAAAAATATAGGGCAACAAAACAAATTACATTATGGTGGCCTCAGCAGATCACTACAGTTTTTTGAACTATAATTTTATTTCTTCTTCATAATAACTTTAAAACTAACGTTCACCAAGTGATTTGGAGCTAAAGCAAAACGGGTAAAAAGGAAAAGAAAGGGGGTGATGGCATCATCACTGCAATTACTGTGTCAAGCATGTATTTTGTAAATTGTCGAAAAGGGAACACTAATTGTGTCAGGCTGAGCTCAACGAGGCGGCCACTCCAGACACCCAAAGGTCTCGTTCTCCTTAAACTCAGTAAAGGAAGATTCTCCCGCCTCATCAGCATCAAGCACAAACTGGGGCTGCAGCAGCAAAGCCCCCCCACACACGCTCCCTAATTTAGACACCATGCATTCACCCTCATTGGCCAAATAATAGTTTGACAACATGGTCAGCCGAGGAGGACAATCTTTATATAAAGCAAGTGATGGGAAATACAAAGCTTGTGTCTAAGCATTACTGAGACAAACTTGCTGCTGGGAGAGTGTCGGCCATCACTCTTACTGCTGTAGCTACTTCTTCTTAGTAGCTGATTGTATTTACAATTTCCTCAACAATGGGTGCAGGTTTATTGATAATGACTGGATTTTTGAATTCCACATGTTTCCTTATCACCGTGAAGCCATCAGTGTAAGAAATTTTGCCAGACATCTATCAGTTTAGACCCCTGCTTAACCATCCCCACCCTGGCAGCCTAGGTACTGAGACCAAGCTGTATATAGAGTATGTTATTAAAATGCAACCTGCCACCACCATTTTGAGAACTGTGGTACATTTCACTCTCCAAAGCGTACCAAATGACTAAAATCGATAGTATCATGTTGCTGTGCTTTATTTATGCTGCATCAAATTTAGTACAGTTGTAGTTCAGAAATTTTTTGAACATGTTAAAAAGCATCCATTTCGACTCCCTCATTAGTAAAAGGTGTGTTTAACTCTTTAATTTAGAATTTTGTTTAGACGTGAATAAAAATTTCAGCTGGCTGGAGTTCAGCCTAATGATGGAGACAGGGAGACTTAACTGTATTTCATCCTAACTGTCACTTATTTGAGCCCAAGGTTGTTCATTTTGGCCCTACAGTACAGTCGTGGAGCTACAGTATTACTGATTTGAGGTGGTTGTGTTTTTTCAGGTTGACTGACTGGGTTAAATATCAGGTCAAGTCAAGTCAGTTTTTATTTTCCCAAAATCACAAATTTACTTCAAAGGGATTTTCAATCTGTGCACATTAGGAAAAATTCCCCAAAACACTTCCAATGAGGGGAAACGAGAGAAACAGAGAGGACCCGCAAAGGTGATCTATATTGCCAATTGCCAAACTTTTAATTTGTAGAGAGAAAAAAAAGTTCTTTCAAAACTTATATTTTAGGATATCAGAGATGAACATGAGGGCTTGCCTGCTTAATTTATCATGTGATCAATGCACGGGCACAATCACCAAACACGTTTTGAATGACACTGCACACGTAACTTGAGTAACTTAGTAACGTGAGTAACTTAGCAACTTGAGATAGCATCTTGAGGATTAGGAAGATCATTTTGCTTTGTGCGTCACATTTGCTCAGCAGTTATTTTTCTCTTGCTTCACTCTATCCCCATCCTCACCACCATAAATCTCACCCTAAATCTCTCCTTGGGCTGCAGTACAGGATTGGGCAGCTGTACATGATCAGTAAGCACAGCTGCGAGCAGAGCGGCGGGGGAGAAGGAGTGGAGGTGGTGAGGAACGAGCCAGATATTCACCCCAAGTACGGCCGAGGACAAGTGACCGAGAAGAGAATCTACCTCAGCAGGTAGAGTTCGCTCTCATGACTGTGCTGTTGTTTCAATGATGCACCAGTACTGAACATTCTGGCTGCTTGCAACCTGAGACTTATCATTGGACTGTCAGTTCTGTGGTTATGATAACTGACTCTGTTCGATCTTTGATCTCTTACTTCATAATAAATCTTTACACCTTGTAAAGGCAAGTTGCAGATATCACTACAGGTAATACATCATAATTTCAGCACAGTAACACCTGCAATGCAGTATAACATACATACAGTACATCCAAAGTCCAAGTACCCTCTGTCTAAAATATGCTGAGGACTCTTGGGCTACAGTGGGAAATTCCAGCATGAGTTCATCATCTATTAAACACTTAAAGTGTCCTGATTGTTGAAAGTACAGACATCTAACTAACACAAAACATTCATCTTGATGGTGGTCACAGGATGTATGAGAAGTTTTTACCTTGTGTTGGCTATATATCAGAGTCGACAGTCCGAAGATATTTACACTGTAATCATATTCATACAGTACATTCAGATGATAGTAACTCTGTACTTCAACCACATTTTGAGCATTTATAAGCATAAAACCACCCATTGTGGTTGTAAGCAGATATAAGGACACTTCTAAATGTTTATTATAGGACAATTTGGAAAATACTCCTATTTGCCTTCAGGCAAAGAGTCGTGTTTATATGCTAAATATGTATTCAGAGGTGATTAATTTAGCTTATAAATACTGGAAACGGGAGAACCAACCAAGTTTTATAAAGATGTCAAAATCCACCTGCTAGCACTAAGAAGTAACACTTTATATCTGGTTAGTTTAATCCTACCAAAATCCAAGGTGTAAAAGTGACATATTGTGGATTTATGAGGGATATGTGCTGGACTATTTGCTGACATATCTGTTTACATACTAGTCATGAGTCATGAGCTCGTCAGAGAACAGGTTACAGTATATTTGTTGACAAAACATTATTAAACGCTTAAGAATCTCGTTATATCCCCTTATGACAGTGTGTTATGAATCTTTATGTTTTAATATATTGCATGTAAACCTTAAAATGAAGTGCTACTCAAATCATTTTTGAATTTGCTTTGAGATTGTTTCTCCAGCAAACAATTTACAGCCATCTAATTAAGCAAGAAAGTCTGTGAGAGATATTAGAAAAGGAATGTTGTAATAACTGTTTAGGCACCAGAAACTACCCACAACTGCAGTGTTCATGTTATTGTGCTGAAAGGTTTTTATTAGCTTCGTGCTCTCAGTGACAGTGCAACCAGAATTATCTTTTAAATCTAAATTCATTTCCTAACCCTAAGCTAACCTCACTCATTACCCTAATGTAACCCAGGGCCTAATCCTAAAATAAGTTCTTAAAGAACAAAGAAATGCTCTCACTGTGGAGGATGTTCCTAATCTGTCTGTGCTTGTGGGACATTTGGTCATTATTAGTAAAGACATACTAAAATACACACATGCCACATAATTACAGAGACTGCAGAATATGTTTAATGCCAGTCGTGTTCTGACAAGTGACCTAGACTCCACAGTTACAATTCATCACCACAGGTATACTTGGGAATGAGTCACACAAATTAACACTATGGTGAGACTAGCCTACAGCTAATCTGACTATAAAAGATCTTAATCTTCTCCTACTCTCTGTGATTCCTCTCTCTTCTTGTTTTCCTTTCAGTAAACTACCGTCTTGGGCAAAGGCATTTGTCCCGCGAATCTTCTATGTCACAGAAACGGCTTGGAACTTCTACCCATATACAATAACAGGTGCCTTTTGCGTGCGCTGATTATCAGCTTACTTTCACTTCAACGCATTATCCAAACTTATTTACTTTTAACGCCTGTGTGTGTCTACATATGTGTGTGAGAAAACAATGAGTAACTAATGCTGTTTCTCCCTCTCCATATTGAATATCCCCGGTGCTGCAGAGTATACAGTAAGTATTCTCACACTTCATTTACGTGTTCTGTTGCATTCAAGTATGTGTGTGTGTGTGTGTGTGTGTATCAGGCTCCTCTCTATCTCTGTCTTGCAATCATTTTCCCCTATTTTTCTTTTTACTTCACAGGTATCATTCCTCCCCAAGTTCAAGATCCGTATTGACACAAGATTTGAGAACAACAATGGCAATAACAATAATGTGAGTATGACTGAGAGCAAGTGAGAGGTGAGAAAGATGGGGTGAACAGAGAAGAGTGGGGAGGAAAAAGACAAGGGGAAGTAGAGAAAGAGCAAATTTCTGTGCAGCGCAAAAAAAATGTCCATCAAATTGAGGTGCCCATTACTACAAAAACAAGCAACAACAAATGCACAAAACGAACTATTGGCAGACCAATTAACCAGACATGAAGCGGGGCGAGCACAGCTGCCATGCTGCATTTTGTCCACAACAACACACACAGAAATTCACAAAGAACCGCAACTTGGTTCCACTCTTGAGTCTGTGCTATGTAATTAAGCAAAGAGTGAAGAAACAAGACTAAGCATGTCAAAATGTGGAGTTCTAGACTTCTACCTGCTGAGAGAAAAGTGCCACATCTTGTTTCATTTCATGTTGTTACAGGTTACATAGTTTTATTGCAGACAAATAAGCATTCATAGTACTGCACTCAAACAAACTTCAAGGCTTAGTGATGGAAAATAAGTACATCTGTGCAAATGTTCCACATTTGAGGGACTGTACATTTATTTCAATTGAGTATTGTCTTATAATGTCACATTATACTTCTACTCTAATACATTTAGTTGGAAATACAGTACCTTTCAGTCCAACACAGGTATGGATGAACAGTCCTACTAGGCACAGGCCCAGGGGCCCAAAGGATCAGGGGGCCCAGGACCAAAGCCTGTGGATAAAGTGACTGTTAACATTTCATGTTGGAAAATCATTCACCAGCACAAACCTGCAAATTTAGCAAAAACAGATACAAAACAACCTCACAGACCAAAATAAAACAAAGAAAAATAATCACAAAGAGATGCAAAGCGAATAAAAAAAGAAGCACAATAACTAACAAGAAATTTAAAATGACCAAAAAGAGGTACAAAGAGATGCAAAATGACCACAACTAGATATAGATGCTAAATGATTAAAACAATGCAAAATGGCCACAAAGATGCAAAACAACAATATGGGTACAAAACAACCACAGACAGGCAAAATTTATAAAACACCTGTGGGTCTTGCTCCTGTATAGACAGGTGGGGGCCCTTTTACATGTCTGTGCTCGGGGGCCCAGTGTCCCATAATCTGTCCATGAACACAAGCATTTGACAACTGTTTGGTACAAATTACATGTTACAAATGATCCCCAAAAGTATTTGCAATTAGAGCTGAAATGATTGGTCAGTTAAGTGATGAATTCACTGACAGAAAATTCATGGGCAACTCTCTGTTTTTATTGTCAAAGTTTTACAAACAAATTCATGAAACAATCAGAATATTTACCAGTAAGGAAAATTCTCATTAGGTGCAGCACAACAAATTACCTTTAAAAAATTGTTCCATGTCAACCGAGCAAAACGGTAAAATTCTACATGACTTATGATAATGTAATTCTATAATATGAACTAACTTTCTGCAATCTTTGAATACTACATTTATCTGATACATATATAATTGTAGACATTTATTCTGGCTTACATCAGTCATCTGCACAGCTCTTTGAATTGCATTAACCTGTTTGAAAGGTTCTATACAAAGAAGTTTGATTTGATTAGTAAAAGTGCAGTCTCCCCTCTCTTGCCAGCTTCCCTCCATTCTGTCTCAAGGAAAAGTGTGTTCCACTCTCGTCTCTTTTTCCCCTTCTCTTTTAATATCCTGCATATGTCCTTGCCTTTTTGTCTCCTCAGCCCTCCTCTCCTCTTTCTATCTGTTCTCTCCTCTTTTTGCTCCAGTTTGATTTGCTCCAAGGGCCTCAGGGTGGGATACAGTGAGAAGTGTGCGACCTCAGTTTCCTACACAGTTACTCATCTCCTCTCATTCTGCTCCTCACTGAGTGAACAACTACATCCATGTGAGAGTGTGCATGGAGTGTGACTATGTGTCCGCTCTAATTACACTGTGTGACCTCCCCCATCTGTTTGGATATAGGTGTTTGGGGACACGGCGACCCCAGCAGAGAATGTGAGTTTCCTGGATATCCTGAGCGACTCCATCCCTGAAAAGCACTACAAAGAGTCAGAGGTACATACTCTACAGTTACAGATGCATGCAGTGACACTAAAGCAGAAACAAATGGCTGTATAGAAACTCTGACTGTACTGAGTCTTTGGACTGTATGATTACATTAAAGCTTATTCACTTTCTTGCAAAAAATTAGATAAGCAGTTTGAGATTCTTATGCCATTATACCAAATATAAAGCTACAGACAATAGCCAGGTAGCTTATCTTAACATAAAGTCAGGAAACAAAATGAAACAACTAGCCTGGCTCTGTCCAAAGTTCAAGAATAAGCCTACCAGCATCTGGACTGTTGCCACCGTGAGATTAAATGGCAACCAACAAAGACTCAAGCACCAGTCTGCTGGTCATCAAAGAACAGCTCTAGCACATAACCTTTCTCAAAACTATAACTTCATGTTATTATAGTTGTTGCTTATGTAGTGTATGCATTAAACAAACAAAACACATTGTTTTAGTCTGTCATCTTCAGAGGTGCTATCTAACTTTGGACAGAGCCAGTCTAATTGTTTACCCCTGCCTCATGTCTTCATGCTAAGCTAAGCAAATCAGCTTCTCTCTACTGTAGCTCCATGCCTCACACATAGCTATGAGAGTTGTGTGAAGTGCACTGTATGCTTCTCACAGCAGGGTCCACAAACTCACACACGTGCACACACCCCAGCAATCAAGTAATTGCACACAGTGTACGGACTCCTGGTCGTGACGCTTACCGTGCGCAGCTTGACGTTGGTAACTGGCTTGTTGTTGTGTAGTACCCCTGAAACACACCAATAATCAATAACACATTTATCAAGTAGAAGACAACACACACTCTGCAGAGTGGGGACATACAGCCAGCTGTAAAAATTTAACCAAAGAGCTGCCACATTTAGCTTTGCTCGCTTTCTTCCTCTGCTCTCTTTCTGTATCCTTGCTGTAAATTATTCCACAGCCCTTAATACAATGAGCAATGACACGTCCTGCACAGATGAAAGTACAGTTCACATGGGCAGTATGCACACATCTGCAGAGGAGACCGTGCTGCTGCATGTACTGTGCTGAAAGCTTATATCTACTCTTCTACCTCTCATACATAAAGCCAATATGTGTAGGTTCCAAAAAATGTCAAATAGTGTCTCACACATACAGTGTGCACAAATGCTAAATATTTTCCTCTTTGTTTCTCTGCTCACTTGTGCTTTTGCATTTAAAGGAGTATAAATCAATAAAACACCCACGTCTCTTTACAAACTGCCTGTCTTCACCATGCCCCCACCATGGTTTTACACTTTACTGCCTGAAAGTCCTTGGAGACAAAGGTCAATTCACAGGCTTGAGAACACAAGCATGAGTGTACTGTCCACAAGCTGCACACACAAGCAAAAACCAAAGAAACCAATGTCATATATTAAGTGACAAAGTGAAAACATAACATCACAAACACAGTCCTATTTTCACAGATGCATAGCATGTGTTATCACACTTTTCTCTTATGGGCTGTGCTGAGCAACAGTCTGCTCACACCTGCACACACATCCTCACACTCTCTCTCTCACACACACACATACACACACACAATGTGCACATGCACATCCATAGCTCCCCCTGAAGATGCGTTACCAAGCCAAAGCTTCTGCAGACTCAGCAACTATAGAGACCCACTGTGTGCTTTGTGCAGGACCTGAGTCACTGGCATTCAAGTAAAACTGGCCGAGGTCCCCTGGAGAAAGGCTGGAGAGACAACCATAAGCCCATTATGTGCTCCTATAAGAGGGTGTACTGCAGCTTCGAGGTCTACGGCTTCCAGACCCGGACTGAGGAGTTCATACATAGAGTGAGACAGAGCTTTGTTTCCCATAATGCCTTTTACCTGTATGCTGATGTAAAGATGGCTGGATTGAGATAAGATCTGCAGTTATTGTCACAAGCCATTTCAGGTGTAATTCAAAATGGAAAAATTTAAATTTACGTCTAACTACCTTCTATAAAGTGTTCTTCTCCTTTTGAGCATTGATCTCTGCATAGTGGTGTTTTTCATTTTGTTGTCTGCATCTACCATGTGTTGCATTTTCACAGTAAGTTCTAGACATCAGTGTTAAAACCAAACCCATTCGCAAGAAGCCTGTTAGCTGCAAATGACCTCTGCTCTGTGATTTATGTAATCCACCATAAGGTCAGATTTATTAGGACATTTGCTGTTTTGCTTCACACTACAAAGCAGTAAAAGGGCCGTTGTTCTTTCAGTGCAAACAAAGCAAAGGTGTGAGTTTCTCACAACAGCTGTTGGTGGAACAAGTTAAACCGCTGATTGACAAAGGCTTTCAGCTCATTTTTCACTCCACAAGAAAGCATAAAAGAAAAACCAAAAGTAGTAAGAGCAAAAGTAGTAAGAACAAAACTAGCTACGCCCTTTTTTCCAACATTATTGTATAGCACAAGTGTTTACGGGAATGTGGTTTGGGTTGTGAGACAGGCCAACACAAATCATATCACTAAGATAAGGTATCTCTCATCTGAGATAAGTTTCCATTTATCTCTACTATGTTCTCATTTGTCATTTTACACAGAGGTATGGCCATTAATTTGACAAGGACATACTATAAAATCTTGCTAAATTTAGCAGTCACATTGTTTTAGAAACATTTTCTTTGTTTCTGTTTCTGGAATTATTTCAGAACATCCGGGACATTCTTCTGGTTGGCCACAGGCAGGCAGTAGCATGGGTAGATGAATGGCATGGTGAGTCAAAAACACAGTCACAGTGCAACGTTTTACATGTTTTACAAACAAGATTAAACATTCAAAGCAGCACAGTTGTCCTTGAGTTTGTTATATTTTTAAAGTATGACTTTACCTTTGACATACACCCTGTGAAATTAAATACTTTCTTCACACTCTGATCTGATGCTTTGTTTTCCCCACAGGGCTGAATATGGAGGAAGTGAGAGAATACGAGCGGACGATGCAAGAGAAAACCAACAGCAAAGTCAAATTGGGCCAGAATAATACAAGTGAGGTTGCATTCTACTGAAATACCACAGAGGAGGGACGAGAGAGAGAGTACAAAAGGATGTGAGAGCAGTGAAGAAGGTGGAGAGACAGAAAACAGGGAATAAGATGAGTCACAGTTAAAAAGAGCACCAAGTTTTAAATGTTTATTTGTGCTCTGCAGAGATTATTTTCCATATAATTTCAGTAAAATAAGAAGGGAATGCAGCAGGACATGGAAGCAGAGAGAGGCATAAACACACTGACTAGGAATTTACAGTAAATCTGAGCAGGTATTTCCTATTTACACTATTTATCCTGCCATGTTATCAGTTACTGTCAACAGAATAGTAGGAATGAATAACTCTGTAATGCTAACAGGCTTGAACAGAGGCAGGCTGCACCACTAGTGCCTTTGCTATGTCCTACAAGTACCCAGATGGCTGGTGTACATCTGTGAGAAAAAAACTGAGAGAGAAGAGCAGTCAGGAGGCATTTCACAACACAAGCAGCTATGAGGAGGGAGAAACAGTGGGTGTACGCACAGAAAAGAATGACAGAAAGACAGATGTAGGGAGGGAGAGGAGTGTAGGCTAGCTCATGAAGTGATAATGCCATTG